AAATACACATAGTTGTGCTGTACTTTACATGTGCTTTGGTAAGAGGTAATAAGAGAAACAGGAAAACCAAAGGGTGGAGAGTGATGGAGAAGTTTCACGAAAGTGGAAAGTGCAACTTCTGTGTGGAATAGCTGTAAGGGTTGGGAATGCCATAGATAATGTGGACTGTGTAAATGATTGACGAAGACAAGTTGGGAGTGGTGGTCCTTCGTGGAATAGAAGAGAAGCTAAGAACAATTGTACAAAGATGTGAAGTATCCATCTGCAAATTCCTTTCTTATGACCTGACTATATATCTCTGCGCCACTCTACATATATAGTTATATATACCTTCCCTTGCCCCTCACGCCCATTATCACTCATCACTATCCCTTCTCAGTTCTGACCACTCATCATGTTCTCCCATCTCACGCACACCCGCCTGCATGTCTTGCCCTTTTCACCTACGTAATAAAGCGACAAACACACACACACACACACTTACACTCTCTCTCTTTTATTTCTGTATATATCTCACACCAGCACGTTCACTAGATTTTTTGCGGTTAATGCTGACAAATCTCCTAGATTATGTACAAGCATATCTGGTAAACATATTAACATCGTTTGTTTATATAGTTACTTAAGGCGCCCTGCCTCTCTTGGCCAAATGAAGCAATGATCATTGTTGATCACATCCATATCAAACCTTTTTTTTTTTTTTTTTGACCAGGTCATCCATATCAAACTTAACATTACGTCCTCTACCTTCTCAGCGTTACTATCACACTTCAAATTGGGTAATTATATATACCATATTATTCTTCAGCTTCAATATGATATAGATTATTTATCACATTGCACATTGAATACCCACATAAATCACACTCACAGATGAGTTTGTCACAAAATTTGAGGACTCCTCGTAATTGTAAATAAAGTTTGATATTAATAAGTGATATGTTAAGTGCTTCTTATCTTTAGAAAAGAGAAGTCATCAGATTATTAATTATCCTAAAGTGACATCTGAGTTTGAATTTTGAAAATGAAAGAGGGAATATATGTTATTGGCATGGCTGTGAGCTTAAAGTTTCAAAGCGTGAATATCTGTGTAGCTGCTGCAGGAAAAAGTTAGGCCCAGTGGTGATGCATCGATCTCTCTCTTCATCTAAAACTAATTAATTGCAGATGGTCCTGCGGAATAATAATATATAACACCCAATTATACGGTCATTACAATAAATTTCTTGGACCACGTCTAGTCAAGCCACTAAATTATATGAAACGTGAATGGTCCAGAATAGATTCATGATCATTCACAGCATGTGTGCGCCCATGTGTACCTAAGCAAGAACTTGGGGATTTAGACGGGATCCATCACCTATTGTATATCACTCATTTTCATCAGGACCATACACTATTTCTTCTGCACATTTGTAGGCCACACCCTTCTGATATAATCTTATATATATGATTGCACTTTGTAATTAATCAGCTGCTGCACAATGAATTAATATATGATTCCATCTATAAATGGTCAGTCATTAATTGCTTTTGATTGATGTTTAGAGCAAGCAAAAAATTTTAATTAAGTGTTATATATGACTGTCTTATTCTGCAGTACCACCGTCCAACCTGTTAGCTTCATCGCAATCACTACATTATCATTATCTCCATCACATACGGTGGCATCAGTGTGTATATAGGAATATGAAAAATAATATTATATTGTTATCATCTTCTACCTTTTTTTGACCGAAGCTTATCATCTTCTACCTACAATCACTATCATCACCATTACTTCATTTGTCACATCACTTAATTGCACCCCTGGCAAGTGAAACTTGTCTTCAAATAACTCGGTTTACCTAAATCTAGTAGGACAGAAAATCTCAATCCCATTAATTATGGACCAAGTTTGAAGCGGACAGATTGTGTCCATACAGTGAGAAAGTATGAAATTGGTACAGTTTTCTCTGGGCAGTATCTATTTTAAACAGAAAATTCAAGGCATTAGTTTGAAGTTCGCTTTCGCTTTAATCCCCGCCATACATCTAATTAAGCTCTAGCAGAAGTTAGACATGCAGTATTCGACCTAAAAAGTAAGGCTCCGTCAGGATAGCATTAATTGGTATCGATATACTCCTTTGGTTCTTAATATAAAATCTATTTAATTAATTTGATTAGATTAAAGAAGTTAGGTAAGTTAGTTAATTATAAGAAAAATGACACATTTTTACTAAAATACCATAATCATCTTTCTTAATACCCAATCTCCCTCTTCTACTTGATTATGGTTGAGAGTATATCCATAGGGGTAATTTAGAGAAAATTGATAAATATAATAAATTGGTCTTATATTTAGGACTAAAATCAATTCAAGAATTGGGTTCTATATTAAAGATCGGAAGAGTATTATATAAAATCTTTTCCCAAGTAATGGATATATCCAAGTGCCCAATTAAATATCGCCATGTATATGGGCATTTCAATCTAAATATAACGTATAGTCCAGGGGTACGTGAATATAGTGAAATTCCAATAACATAATTTGTGCTTGAAGAAATTAAATTAATCCTTTGAATCATCCAGTATCCACCGGTTATGTCAATTAGTTCAATCTAAACTTGTCTTGGTGCTGGTCCAAAAAATCTAAATTTGTCTTGGGACCCTGGGGAAATTCTTCAACTTGATCTAACCATGAATAGTTAAGTTATATATAGATATGAAAGCCAGATAACTAATTTATAGATATTAAGAAAACTATTTAAGTTAGTTATTTGTAATAAATAAATATTATCTTTTTTAAAATGTCTTTGTTAACATGTGTATTATAACTACTTTTTGATGAAAACTTTTTAACATATTTGATCGCTGTAGATATTATACTTGGAGACAAATGGATAAATATTAAAAATAAAATGAATTGAATTTTTACATTTAAAAATATACAACTAGTTCTTATAAGTTAAAAACGAGAAGTAATAACAGGTGTGCTTTGTTTTCAGCATATATTGTCGGTTCTTTGGTGAATTTCGCTGGAAATCCATTTTATTTGCATATTTCAATGTATATCAACACGTAGGTAGATTAGAAGACGGAAAAGAAATGATATGGACAGAGAATATGTAATTGAAATTATACCCTCAATTACCGAGCAAATCAGTGGGAATAGCGCAAAAGGGAATTAAACGGGAAATCTTAGGGGGAGAAGGTGAAACGGACATACGCTCAAAAATCTAAAAAGAGAACAAATGGTGGCTATAAACAATGAAAATTTTGGCTATATAAAAACCTGCAAATCTTGGCTAGTAACTTTTCTTGGATATGTTAAACATAATTTTGTCGGTGACTGTATACACAAAGAGACAGACTCACGCATCAAGATAATATGTTAATTAAATGGACGAAGAAAAGATGAAAAATGGTCGGCAGGCAAGAGGAATTAAGGGCAGCTTAACGATAAAATTAAGGAATGTCGGGGGTCAAGCAATAATTAGTAGGCCAAACCTTGCTGGTCCTCTTCAGAATTGCGCGAGCGCGCGCGCACACACATATTTAGGGGAATAAAAAAAAAAAAACTTTGATGTTGATTTGTTGGTGTAGGGATTTGGGAATTGAGAGGGGATATACACATGTGATGACCATTTACACAGAAGCTAAAGAATGGATTCTTCTTGTGGGCTCACCAACTACCCAGCACGGTCGGAACAAAACACAAACCCTAACTAATTAACTCCCTCCGTTATTGTCATTTTCAACAAATCCAAACCAAATTTTATCTCTTCTTTGCACTGTACATCTTGGAGTTAATTATAACAAATATTCATGCCCTTCCTTTTATACAATGAAGCAATAAATTGAACGAAAGCCTTGGAAACATATCATTCAACTAATTTATAAAATACATTTTGCGTTAATTAATTTTATCTCATTTCGGTTTCGGTTCTTAAAATTCACAATCAATAGTTTGGTTCCTGAAACAAAGTTTGAGGAACCAAAAATACTGTTCCAAGAACTAAAAGCTGTAAACAAGCTAATATGACTCAAATTTCATAAATCAAAATTATTAATTTCAAATTTTAGAAATCAAAATGACATCAAATTTTGATATACTAAATATGGTATTAACCCTTATATTTTTCATCTAAAAGTGATTTTTTTTTTTACCTTTTACTACGTTTCCTTCTATGGTCTGTTCCATTTGGCCGGACACAGACCTTAAATTTACAACATTTTAACAAAAGGTCATAGTTTGATACAGTGATTCCGTTCGAAATGTAAGCATCAAGTTAAAGGCTCCATGTCGAGACAAACGAGAGTGAGAAGCTTGTGGTTATGTATAAATTAGTTCACTGCAGGATGACACAGTGAAAGCTCAGTGTGATGATTGATCAATAAGAGATGATGCGATATATATGTATGTATGTATTTATGTATGTATGTATCTTGTCCTTTCATGCCCTTACTAGCCCTTAGCTCCTACTTTGAATTAGAACGGCTGGCCCCTCCCCTTCTTCATCTTTGAATTCTGAGTTCAAATAAGTACACAGTTTCATGTGCACCGGGACTTCAATTTCAACCCTAGCTTGTCATGCATTTATTAGACCCTCCCAGTAGCCCATCTATGAATGGTTTCTGTGTGGACTTTGAAGAACCAAAGTTAGGTAGTCCGATCGATCGAGATCTTTATGACGATGGAAAGATCACTGCAATCAGAGACCCACGAGAAGATAACAGAGTAAAGCACAAGTTAAATATTGACAGAAAAAAGCAAACTAAACCAAGAAAAAAGAAAAGCTAACCCTGCAGAAATTTACAAAGATAAAGCCATAGAGGGATGCAATATAGCTTTTGGTCATGGGAATGAGGACCTTTTCGTAGTCTAATGGACTCTTTGTTTTTAAGCCACTGTTTTTTTCCATCAGAAAGAGACAATGGTCCCCCAGCTAGCCAGCCAGGCCAGGTCCAAGTTATAACTAGCTAGAGTTATGTTTATCTTCAATTAAGCACTCCAGATGTAACAAAACCAAGGTCAAATTTGATGCAAACATGTCTCATAATTTCTATACACTCAGCAAGCCACACACACGCACGGATATAAGAGACTACGTGATATTATAAACCTCTTAATTCTAGATCTCCCAGCCAAAACAAAAAAAAAACAAAAGAAAACCTAGCTAACGACAAATGTACAAGATATACACATCTATAACATGATGACAAGACAAGCGCGTCACTTTTCAATCCACCAAGTGAAGAAGAAAAAAGTGCACATGAATTAAGTCGCTCAACTTGGCACGCTCGCAAACCCGGAGTTTTGTGAAGCGATGGATATGCAAGAATCGCACATCGCAGCTATATATGCCTTCTCTTCTTTTCCTTATATTATCATCAATTATATTCCTTTCCTTCCTTTTGGAGTGCGCTGAGCTCAACTGGGAGGACTGTCCGGGCACAAAGCATGTGTGTGAATGGCAGGTCGAAGCAAGGGCCAGCCAAGTCCTTTATCTTTATCTTTTTGGCCTTTGTTTCTTTTTTCTAAGGGAAAACATTAATTTTGTGCGTCTTTCTGGTCATGGCATAATGCAAGTGGAGGAGTGAACTTGATAACATGGCTGGCCTGCACAGCTTTCCAGCAATGTTCAATGTCTTCTGCGATTCGCTTCGCGTCAATGGAGGCGCCAAGGAGGCCACGTTTTGTGAAACCCACAGAATAGAGTCCGTTTTCGCCTTTCCATCCATTGGGAAATGCTTTCCGGGGCAACCCATCTTTCTCACTAAACATGTCACTCTCCTGATTATCACATAGTAATTTCAATTTCAACCCCACAATAATATATAATCCAATTAATTCATCAGCTTATATGTATGGTATTTACCACCAACAAAGTATATTCTTGGGTGTGCGAAAATAATGAGTCATGTAGATCTTCTTAAAGTTTTCAAATTTAAAATAAGCAAAACTCTGGAAGGTTAGATTAATTGAAAGTGCATATGTATAGAAGCTTAGTTGTTTGTGATATTTTAATCTAGATATTTTGTAGTAGAGAGATAACGATATATAGAGAGAGAATATATATACTATAAACTTTATATGCACAATGTCCCAATCATTTTTTGTCGCCCTTTTTATATGAAATATTTGACCGTAGACTATCTTTTTTTTTTTGGGTAAATTTTGTACCCGTATCCTCTGCAACGCATGGATTAAATTCAGTGGGATAAAAAAGAAAGAGAGTGTGGAGTGTATGGAAGCTCATAGATGATATTTGAAACTCAACCCCCCCCTCTCTCCCCCCCCCCCCCTCTCGGTCTGTTTCATATACTGATTTGTTTTTAGCTGAAGTTAAAGATTTGGATTCGTAATTTTAGATATTTGTCATATTTTCTAAGGACAAGCCAAGTGAATTTTTTACAATTCAGCATCATATGTATACATTTTCCCTCTTTTAAAAAAATCTCAACAATTTTTCTTTTTCGTAGGAGGCCCACAGATTAACAAATAAAATAATTTTACCCACTTAAGCCTAAGCTCTTAATTGAAAGCCCTTATCTTTAGCCCTCAAGAAAAACGTTTCAATATTAGTTAGCTAACATTCCCTTGGCTTCTTCTACTCTGATATTCCCAATATCCAAACATAAAAAGTGCCAAAAACAAATACACACCAAACAGAGAACAAAAAGGAATCACCTTTAACCAAGAGGGTACATTGCTCTTGTAACCAGTTGCCAGAATGATGGCATCGAAGTTCTCTAGTTTACCATCGACAAACTCCACTGCATGCTGAGTTAGTCGTGAAATTCCCCGGCGAAACCTGCACATATATTCCGCAGTTGAAAAATGTCGGAGAGACAAAGGAAGAGATAACATATAAATTTCTTGTTTTCTTTCGGTGTTGAAATGGAAAATGATCCCATCGATTATGACAAGAAAACAGAATAATTAAATGAAACCTCGTGGGAGAGCGAGGGAGGATATCTATATCCAATTCTAACCTTAATATTGCCGCATTTGATCTGAGCCAGTGTGCCAACATCCAAAACTGGTGTCTTGCCGCTTAAGTTCTTGAGCTCCAGAGGGCCAACTTTGGGTCGATTAAGTCCATACTGAGCTGTGTTCCCAAGCATGAGACGTGACATCAGAAGCAAAAACCGATCCACAAGCCGTATTGGGAACCACTTGAGCAAACACATAGATAAACCAAAAGTAGATTTCCCAAACATCTGCTGAGGCAAGATATGAACCTGCAGCCCAATCAAAGAAAATTTTAAAAAACTGTAGGCATGGCAGCACGAGAGCTAATCACAATCACGCTTTCAAATTAGTTTTCAGATAGTTCTGAAAACCCTGACGGTATAGTTTCAGGATCTCGAGCAGGTGCACATGCATACGGATTCCAAGAAAAGTGTAAGTCCACATGTTTATATAAAACCCTTTTCAGAGTTATTCGTAGAATAATAATATAAGCTCACCGTGTCTCTAACCACAAGGGAAGGGCGAGCATTATGATCGCAGAGGTCCAAGCAGACTTCCATGCCAGAATTCCCGCATCCAACCACCAGAACTTTTTTCCCAGAAAACTCACTGCCTCTCTTGTACGAGCTACTGTGTATTACAGGTCCTAAGAAATCATCCATGCCTTCAATTTGAGGCACTACGGCCTCTGCATTCTCTCCTGTGGCCACTATGAGCCACTGACAAACATATTCTGTCATCTCCCTCTTCAGCCCTTGGGTCTTCACTCTCCAGAAACCAAATCTGTGATCAAATTCTGCGGTGATCACTGTCTTGTTGAAGGCTGGTTTGATGCCAAAGTGAAGAGCGTAGGCCTTCAAGTAGGCTAGAAACTGCTGTTTTGTGGGATAGGAAGGGAAGTTCTTGGGAAACGGCAAGAGAGGAAGCTCACAAAATTGTTTGGGAAGGTGAAGCCGAAGGCGATCGTAGGTCTTGAATTCCCACATTGAAGCTAAGCAACCGGACTTTTCAAGGATGAGACTTGGGATTCCTTTGTGTTTAAGACAAGCTGCTGTGGCTAAGCCAGATGGACCAGCTCCCACTATAACTGGTCCACGAACGCACAATCTTTTAGCCATCTTTACCCTTTGAGCATCATAGTCGTGCAAGCTTTTGCCTTCTATCTCCTTCAGGTACTCCTCCATCACCTGCCACAAATTAAAATTACTCACAACAAGCCACACACACAGAGGGTAAAGGGTTCAAGAATTCAAAGCCCGCCAATCAAGATGGCCATGCTTGATTGTCAGATGGGGTTTTGGGTTTGAAGAATATAGGGCGTCCCGACGAGGCCCTGAATTGATCAAATGAAGTCAAACTTTAAAACTTGGGTTTTGTTCAGTGTAGGGGAAAGCGTTAAAGTGAGGATGAAGGAACTAAAGAAACAGACAGAGCTATATCTGTTATGTAGAAAGCTAGCTAGAATTAGTTCAATGGTATTCGACGACAAGGGATTTTAAGGAGGTGCAGGGTTTAGTGAGTGTGGACATATTTATATACGAATTGGTCAGTTTGTGGTCATGAGTGTGTTGAAGGCGTTTGGTTGTGTGGGACAAGTTATATTAGTGATAATAGCTAACACTGACCAACAACAACCTTTCATCTACCCCAAATAACATATACACAATCTGTGCGAGCGAACACGGGTCACAGCTATGGCTATAAGGACAAGAATTCTATTTGATTGCAGTATAAATGTGGAAAGAGGCTTCTAAACGCTTATTTAATTTAAAGGCTCTCTGACTGTACTAGTCATCATGATGCTCGTGGACAAATACTAACAGTGAAAATTGGATGACATACATATGCAAGGGTCAGCAGATCTGTACAGAAAGAATTTATTGTTGCTTAGTCCGCGACCGGTATTATTTACCATGAGCTGCTGCTGCTGCTTCTTCTTCTTCTTCTTAATTTATTCTCATTATACCGAAGTTCCAATATATGAATAAATTAAACTTGAATTATTTACATGGTCATTTATCATTTTTAGTGAAAATACTCAAAATAACAAATACCTAACTACACATTTTCGTTTTTTACTCAATAAATCAAAAAATTCATTGAAGGTGTGGATCAAAAAGCACAAAAGATAAAAATAGTCGTGAAAAACATTTTTAAAGTCTACAAATAATTGAAGACTTAATATGTGCTATTTTACAATATTTACGGGGTGATATATATACTAACTTGAAAGTGAAAATGATGAAAGGTTAACACATAATTAATTAATGGAAATCAAGTGAGGATGTCGGGATGATTAAGGTTTCAAATTATGATGACGCGATGATGAATTAGTCTAGCTCTCCCAATTTTATTGTTCGATCCACGCTTTAGTTTTCTTTGATCGAGAACACAAATTTAATTAATTAGTCACGCATCACCAGGAACAAAAATTCAAGAAAAATAAAGGATAAGAGGAATTGGGAGAGATGTGTATTATATATATATATATATATATGTAATCAGGCTTCTCTTCTTACATGTTATATATGTATTTATATTATACAGTTCTCAAAACCTAGAAAAATTTTTCTGAATAGCAATCTAACTATATGGGTCTGGACACTTGTGCCCTCTTTTGACCTTCACTTTGGATTTAACCAATAAAGTTAGGAGGAATTGACCATATAGCAGGCATACCGGTTTTACCAACAAAATCTCACCACCATTAAGTCATGTTTCAACTAACCTAGCTATTAATTAAACCTAAAACACGTGCATACCTGGCCTAAACATTATTTGACCAAAACATATGTTTGGCCCAGACAAGTACGCTCATGATCTCAAGCGCTTTCCACGCTAATTAGGATGTGTTTGAAATGGCTTTTGAAGACCCCCAACTGACTTATTTGACCCCAAAAGTCAGTTTAGACCCAATTTAAATGTTTATGATAGCTTTAAAAATAAAGCACTTCTACTCCAAAAATTACCTTAAAATGAAAATAACTTTTTGCTGCTTTTTCAGCGCATCACGGTGCATTGCTCGCACACAGTTGACATGTGAACCAATGTGATCAAGTGTTATGTGGTTGTCTAATTCTAGATAGACATGAAAGCTGGCTTAGATGATTTTACCTTCCCAGCACATTTGCCAAGTATGAGTATTCTTGAAGGAGTCTAGGGATGCCAAAAAGTAAAGTTTTTAGTGACTCTGTTAAAGCCTCTAGGCTCTTGTGTTGTGAATGTTCTTCAAAGCGCATCGATCCAGTCATAGGAGCTATCAAAGAAATAAAGAAGTTGATCATATTACCATGTGTTCAAAACAAAATTTGACAAATGCACTGATTGACTTACTCATTAAGAACATTATATGAATATTAAATAGTATTCTAGGCTCTCTTTTTTCGATGCAAGAATTTCTTTTTGGCTGGTCTACTTAACAAGTCATGTGCTTATAGTTAACTTCTTCTTTTTTTGCACATTTTTCCATAACTTTGTATTCCTGGGGAAAGAACTCGCAGAATGCTCCCTGTAGCTAATAACATCACATATTTTGCTCATAATTCTAATTCAGAATGTTTCAACAAGCTCGTAATTAATGCAGTCTTGTTTTCCTTCTATGTTTTCTTGGATGTTATATAATCATCTAATAATATTAATTTCAGAGATGTTTTCTATGATTGCGCCTCCTGAACATCAAAGATCATTTTTTTTTCTTTTTAATAATTTTGCCATGCATCCGTTGCTTCGGCATTGAATTAGTTTTCCTTGAACAAATCTTGCTTCCCCTTGATAAACAATGAATCAAGTAGTAAAATACTCATAATTCTAATTCCAGAAAATTAAAAATAGAAAATGAATCAAATAATTGAAGTTTAATTTTTGTGATTATCACAAGTGAAAACACATTAATCCTCGGGACAACACGCTTAATTAGCCTGTATCTATTGTAAATTTGTTTTGGCCGATACCTGTTGTAAATAACTGTAGCATAAGATTTGTGTTCAACTTTTCCGATTACTTCTCAAATGAGGAAAAGAAAATGACAAGACCAAAGATGGTAGAAGAAAATGCAAGGGAAACTAAGAAGATACGATTAATGTTCTGGATCCCTGTGATTTAAAGGTTGATAAGCGGGTTATGGTAGTACTGGATCAATGGAACCATCAACATGTTCCAATTCGTTGGGATCGAGGGGTCAATGTTCCTGTGCGCTCAATTTAGTTCGTTCAAGATTCTTTCTGATGACGACGTAAATCCCTTCGAACGCGTGCACAATAAAAGTCCCTTTTTATGATTTCCTCTTAGTTTCTTTATTCATCAGATCTCTTCCTTTTTCTTCACCTCGGTAAATCCGGCTTTATCACTCACGTGTCTTTCATCCTTTCAAGTTCTTAATAAAGGCTGTACTCTTACTATGACCATCCTCTGCTATGAAAATATGTGCACTTTCTTGATTAATTGAAAGCAACTGCGAAACATAGACAAAATATTGTGTATTACAAGTGTTTTTTTAAAAGCACTATTTTTCACTGATACTTAATTGGCAACACTCACGTACTTTTCTTTTATAAAGCTTTTTGTCAATTAAATGCGACGCAGAGCCGAGCATGAAATAGAGAGACAATTATGTTTCACTTTCATGTATTTTCATTTCTCTTTCAAATTTGACGAGGATACATTTTCTGATTATATATATATATTTGATTATTAACAATAGCATCAATGCAATTATATTTATATAATATATTTGATAAATAATTACATTTGTTTTACTTTACTAACTTACGTATTCCTTGTTTTTTTTTTAATGTTGTTTTACTGCTAGATATATCTTGCGTATTGCATAATATTTTTCTGTTTTTTTTGGCTGAGTCAAATTTGAATAACCTCAACACAAAATCGATCATGGAAAACCCTATATGATATCCTGACCCTGGCCCCTCAGAGATTTATGTTTGCTAACTCTATTATAAGTTGCCAACTGCTTGGACGCTCTTTGGCTCTCTGATTTCTCCAAAAGGAACAAAAATTAGAATGGTTGATTGGATGTTTCAACTTTCAAGAGCTGCATAAATATGTTACACGGTCAACTTCTGAAAATATGTACTATAGTACCATGAAATGTCGTGTAAAGAAATTACTACTTATGAACCATGATACATATTGAAACATTTTAGGCCATTCTTGGTGCTCATGATCATGGCCTTAGAGCCTGACAAATTGTTCAACCTAGAGACCAGGCCCTGCTCACCTTCCAGCAACCCAAAAAAGTCTCTTGCATGTTTCCCAAAACTTCAAATCTAAAAACTTTATAAAATCGGTAAAGATATACTACCTCTAGTCCTTAATATAAGACTCTGTTTGACTTTTATTTTAGTCTTAAATATAATACCTCAATCCACTTTGTCTCTCATATTTATACTTTTTTTTTTAAAGTAGCCTTTCTAACAATGATAGTTCTAATCAATACACTTGATTAGTAAAGATATTTTAGAAAAGACAACATCTATTTAGGACAAATAACTAACTTACTTACTTCCTTAATCTCCTAAAATTAGTTAATTGGCTCTTATAATTAGGATCTATATGCGTATGCACAGTTACTAGAGGAAAGAGACTGATGATGAATTAATTAAGCACTTTCCCTTTAAGTCAACTGAAAAACAGCAGAAGGCCTTGCTTTAAGTTAAAGTAGCACAGTATTATATTAACAGTCATATGCTATATATCTAAGGACCAGTTTATTAAATCAGATTCAGCAGTATACCACCTGAGTTACAGTCATCGTCAATTTGAACTGGTAGGGCATAGACCGAGGCACCATATAATTATATACAACCCATAATCAGCCACGCCAACTTCTTTATATGTATATCTGTGTGCGCTCAAGCAAAAGGCTAAATAAATAGTATATTTACACCTGGCTGCTCGAGGGTTTGCAAAGCTGCAAAAACTCTTTTTCCTAAGCCTATGAGGTGCATTTGATGATGCGAGAGTTTTATTTCCCTTTGAAGTATTTTGGGTGTCTTTAAATGTCAGTAAGCTTAAGTTAGTGTTTATTTGTGTGTGTGTGTGTGTGTGTGTGTTGGCACTTTAAATATGACTCATTGGGGCTCACTCGATCATATAATAATTAATATCCCCAGAAGAGTCTACAGTACCTAGCATCACTAGCCTTTACAAGTACTTAATATGCTGATGATCACTTCTGGCTAGGGTTCTTTACTTATTCGTTAATTTGTTTAATTAGTGCACTTTCATTGTCAACCTCAGAAGCAAACTCAGCTCCAGTAAAAAATGATCATAAATAAATATGGAAAACCCAATCGGTCTTCGTGCGTGGTCTCATTATTCTTGTCAGATGCAGAATTATTGCATCAAATTTTATTTCCTACAGTCGTCTCTATATATGGATCCTCCACTGTATTTAAAAAAAGGGAAAATGAAAGAAAAGTATGGAATTTGCTTACTCATTTTGCTCGAGAATGTCAAAAATGTTACACACTCAAAGCTTTATTCTTCTTCGGAGGATCGCATGCCATTCCGATTCCAGCCATTCTCATTTTATCACTTTAGGTATGTAATATATTAATAAAACA